CCTCTAGTTCTCCTTCAAGAGCCTGGTCGCGTTTGAGAGCTAAAAGTAACTCTCTCTTCGCGCATGTCCAGACCTTTGTTGCCGCTTCACGCTTTGAGCCATTCGAGTTCGCCGAGGATCAGAGTCAGCTGTTTTGGACCAGAGTCAGAGAGCCCGGTTCGTGTTCCCGCCGATATCTTCGGTGCCCGGCGATTCACGTCTCCTTGGGCAGATCCCACTGACCGCCAGTCTGCCCCTTCTAGTACGTAGGATTCCCACCGAGCCTAAACTGTAAACAGGGCTCAATTAATCTTCCGCATAGACAACCTCTGAGGGAAGGCGTTCACGAGCAGATGAACGCGTCTTTGACGGTGGATGTTTGGCACAGGGCAAGCGCTTCAACGAGTTTCCGTGTTTCATCCAAAAGCATTTTGACGGATTGACAAGCAAACCAAATGCTGGGTTTCTTTTGAAAAAAGCTGCACATGCACGTGCCAGAAGACCACGGATCCTTTGTAAAAAGCAGTTTTGCTCTTCCGGACGACCAGTGCCCGGCGCGCAAACGCTTACACACATGCACACAAGCACGCATGCACTCACACAGGCTCGTGCACGTGCAGACCTGCGCACGCTTACGCACATACAGCACGCGCACGCACCGGGACAGCGCCTATTCCTTTTGACTAGTGCTGCTTCCTAGTTCCTTTGCAAAGCAGCCTTCCACTTGGCGGATTTAGTGCTCGAAGACTACGTAAATAGCGTGTGTTTGTCAAAAACCACTCGCAAGCGCAAAACAAGCGCTCGTTGGAACATCCAGGCATACACTTGGACAGACACCCAAACACGCGCGCACACACACAAACAGCTCTCACTTACCTTTGGGGTGTCAGTAGCATCCCTTTTTAGTTTTGCGCCGCCTAGGGGTACTGAAAGCAGGCATTTTGATAAGCTGCAGATGTTACAGCCAGTTGTTTCTTGGGATTTGCTTGTGCATTTGGGAGGCAGACTTTTTGCCGAATCTGGGCAGATTGAAACCACGGGCCAGGATAAAGTTGGCATAACGGCAACGGTTCTTTTTGTTTTTCTCATAAGGAAGGGAAGCCCTTGTTTAAATCCCTTCGGAAACATTCATGGCCCCATTTGTCGGGTGTCCATGAGAAGTCCTTCATTCTGAGAGGGCACCGGGAAGCCGAAGTTTTGCGTTCCATATGCCCTGGAGCTTGGCCAGCAGCCAAGGTGAATAGAAACGCACAGAGTATGACCCACTTGAGGTAAGCCTGTGGATGTACGAGCTCCTGCACTGGGTGCATTTCAAGGGAATCAATTCAGCCTAGGTGCAGGATTTTGTCCATCAAAAGTGGCCAGTAATTACTGGGTACAGTAGAAATGCGTTGTGTAGGTTTACCCCAGCCTGGGTGTCGTACAAGTTTGGTTTCGCAAGCTTCGGCTGGCCTTTTTTTCTGGTCTCTGCACATTCCAAACAGGCTTTCGGGGATCGCATTTCTGTCCTCAGCCATTCTAGCGTAACTGCCCACTGGTCTACTGGAGCATTGTTCAGCGGAACGCTTCAAATTCCTTTTTGTTTAGTCGGTTCCTCACCCAAAATGGTCCCAGTGGCTGGGCCAGGATTCGCCAGTTCTCCGTAGGCATAATCCCAAGGAGTGTGAATTCCAGGTTGGTCAGGGCTCGAGGCTTCGATTGGTGCAACATGCCTTTGGAGCCAGCAGCCCCCCACCTCCGCTTGCTGAGAGCAAGCGACAGTTCCAGGGCGCGCTTTTTGCTGAGTCTTGGATTGAGCATTTGCCATGAGAATGAGGCAAAGCAGAAAAAGCAAGAGACTGCGTTTTTTTTTTTTTTTTTTTTTTTTTTTTTTTTTAAGATCCTTTCACATGTTGCTCACAGAAACTGCACCATGATCTAAACATTTAGCTTTTTGGTGAGTGGCAAAAGGCTGGTGTTGCATTGTGTTCGACATGTTGTTTGTCATGGGGGGGTTCAACGCCTTGAAATCGAGTTCCATAGCTGTGTATTGACCACATGTTGCTGCTTACCAATGTAGAGCAACACAGGGACGCTGTCTTCAGTTGTGTCGGGCCTTCGTCATGGCCGGCAAGATGAGCGGTTGACTGTAGCCAATGACAGTTTTGATCTAAGTCTACAGAAATTGGAACTTAGTTGTGACTTCTGGACAAAAGCATACATGCCGCGCATAAGATCATCAGCCTGTAGCAGATCAGTGTTCGATTGATGCAACACAAACAGCAAGTGTCCGTTCAGTGATCTCGGGCAGATGCCGAATCCTCCAAGCAAGCATTCCAGGACTGCGTTTCTGGAAACGCGTTTTTGGTGCAACGGGATCTGGCCGGCAGTCCAAATCCGGACTGCGGTCTTGATCTGAATTTTGGGCGATTGCAGAAGTCTGACTGCAAGGTTCGCCGAGTTTTCGCCGCCGACCGACAATGCGTTGCGCTTCTCCTTGCGCCTGGCCACGCTTAATATGGACCGGTTTGCGCCGGAAGTAGATGCAGCCCTTGCTCGATTCTGACCTGAGCTCCGTCAGTGCTTCCACCAATAGATGGATGCGAGAGCGGCCTGCACGTCGCACAGCGCAATTTGGTGCTGAGCCATTGAGTCACCACCGAATTGTCACACCTTCTGAAGGCGCACAGTAACTGGCACCTGGCCCCGGATCTGTACGGATTTCTTGGGCAATCAGATCACGGTGCGCGTTTAAATGTCCTTTGGAAGGTTCTCGTGGTGCCCTTTGCCGGACGGAGAGTCCACTTGAGTTCGGGGAGCTATTTGGGACTAGAAGCAAGACAAGGTCATTGATGGATTTCTTGGTTCAGAACGAGGGTGGGAATTTGAACCCCCATGGCCCAACCCCATTCCCCATGTGTTGACAATCACCTTTTCTGGGAACGGCTGCTGGTTGAGTCAAGCATCTAACTGGCACCTGACAGTTGGACAGGTTGTGACATTGATTGGCTTCTCCTGCATAGTTCAGCCTCCCCTCTTTCTAGCTTTTCTGTTTTGGGATTGTGCGCCTGCTTGCTTGGGGAGAACATTGCCAGCTTCAGTGGCAGCTGGGATTTCACAGCCGGATGTCATGGCAGAGGTGTGCCCAACAAACAGCAGATGAATCCGGCCAAAAGGGGACCTCGCTGTCTTTGGTTTTGCCGGCGCCCATGTCGAGATGTGACAACGTGAGTTGTCTAGATCGACTTTGACGCCTGGGACGTGTGGCAGCTTCTGATCCACGAGAGCCGCAAAAAGCTCATGACTTGGAGGGTCCGGGTTTATCTCCTGGGACCCTTCAAGTTGATGGTGGATTTGCGTGAACTTACAGGGGGGTCTCGAAAAGACACTGCCGAATGGTACCTAGTTTCTTGGTGGTTGCCTTTCCAAGAACAAGCAACCAGCCAAAACGGCTTCCCTGGCTTTCCTGCTTCCTTTCTGATGGCCGATGAATCGACGCCCAGACGTTAGCTCCCTGGTTTGATGGGCAGGGCGACCAGAAGGATTCGCTCAGTGCCATGCGTCATACCGTGGATGGACAAGAGTCGGGCATCTGTTGGGAGGTGGTTTATCCCAATAAACAAAAATCGTCATTTGTCCCAACTGGTGCATAATTTTGTGCATCTACAGTATGATGAGTAAAGGAGGATGGGGAAGCCAATCACTTATAAATCCTGTATACCTAATCTCTGCCCACTTGAGTCAATGTGAACCTCCACGTTGATCACAAGAGTTTCGACTTGCAGTTAGAATCACATTCATTTCAAGGACACCCCATTGAAATGGTCAGCTCCAAGTTTGACATACCACGTTATGTTCCGCCAGGCTTTTGCATCCTTAAGATGCAACACTACAGGCAGTGTCGACGCAGCGTTTGATCCGGGCTTTTGTTCCCAAGTTCCAGCTTTCCGGTGTAGGCCATGAGGCACATTTGTTTGGCCCCATACCTAAGCTCTTGACCGCCCCAGCCCGCTGGCCAGCCAAGTACTGAAGCTTAGGGACACTCCCAGCCGGGGGGCGGATATCCGCTTCCAGTCCTAACATGTTGGTAGACCCCTTTTGAATGTTAGTGGGTTGGACTTTTCATCTTGGACTCTTGCGGAAATGATGATTTCCCTACCTGCAACACGTTTTTTTTTTTTGGGGGCAGGGGGTAACAGCCATTTTGCAAAACGGACACCTAGCTAGTGCTCAGTAGGGAATGAGAAATGGAATGGCCCCCGAAACCATCCAACTGGTGATTTCCTAGGGGAACCAGGTTCATTCTATTTCTCACTCCCTACTTGCACCAAGTACGGCCCGGGCGGAACCCTTTTCCCTCGTCCAAAAAAGTGGGCGCCTGCGGTTGCCCCCGGCCAGGCCCTCCAGCGTCGCTTGAGGCGCTGGGGCTCCTGGTATCGCTTCAAGGGCGAGGACGTGGGCGCGGGGTGCGGGGTGGGTGGGGGGGTTGGGGGGGTTGGGGGGGTTGGGGGGGTTGGGGTGAGGGGTGGGGGTGGTCAGGGTTTGTTAAGGTGTGTTTCTGTGAAGATGGTTGGGCTTACAAAGTTTCAGTTTTTGGTGAGCTTTTGGGGGACCAACATGTATCATGCTCGGG